AAAAAATATTTTTATAAAAAATTTTTATATATATATATATATATATATATATATATATATATATATATATATGATAATAAAATTATGATATGAAAAAAAAAATTATGATAATAATTGGTAAATAAAACAAGCAAATAAATGAATGAATGAACTGTGAAAATAGAAATGCAATCCACTATGTGCACTCACAGGCTGTCCTTGCTTTCCTGTTATTCCAGGTGGACCCTTTGAAAAGAGAGTAATGTAGTCGAATTAACTCAAATAAAAATTTTGGACCACAAAACCAGTCATAAGGGTAAATTTTTTGAAATTGAGATTTATACATCATCTGAAAGCTGAATAAATAAGCTTTCCATTGATGTATGGTTTGGCTGAGATACAACTATTTGAAAATCTGAGGGTGCAAAAAAAAATCACAATATTGAGAAAAATCACCTTTAAAGTTGTCCACAGCAATGCAAAAATTAAGTTTTTATATATTTACGGTAGGAAATTTACAAAATATCTTCATGGAACATGATCTTTATTTAATATCCTAATGATTTTTGGCATAAAAGAAAAATCGATCATTTTGACCCATACAATGTATTGTTGGCTATTGCTACAAATATACCCATGCTACTTATGACAGGTTTTGTGGTCCAGGGTCACAAATGTAGGTCTTCGATGGCTTACTCTTTCTCCTGGATCTCCTTTGGGTCCCCTGTCACCTGGTGTGCCTGAAAAGCTTAAGGCAGCCTATGATAAATGTGAATTAATTGGTATACTGTGCCTTGTACATCTATACATATTGTCCAATTATTTATACATACTGTGCATAGAGCACATCAAACAGACAGACAGACAGATAGATAGATAGATAGATAGATGACTTACATTTTTCCCTGGTCCACCTGGGTGTCCAGGTGGTCCGGCAGGCCCTGTTCAGCATGTATGGACAGAAGATTAAGTGTGTGAAGAAATGGCTGGGCAGTACAAGTTGATGTTGTTATGTATGCTCTGATATTCTAGCATACCTGGTGGACCAGGAGGGCCGGAGGGCCCAGGAGGACCAAGAAAAGCCTGCAGGTCACGATAGGCAGCTAAGTCACTATCTTCATCTGCAACATGTAAGATATGATCATACTGAGATGAAAACAAATCAGATGTACAATTAAAATGGTAACTTGTGCAGCTGTACTGCTGTTCTGTTCAGTAGGATTTGGTGCTCAGGTTCTGCTTTGGGTTATCCAGATTCATGCAGCTTCACAGACAGCTAACAAATGACTCTGATTAACTGCTGACAGACAGAAACCAACCAGACTCTTAAACTGAGCCAGATCTCCTAGAGGTTCATTTAAGCTGATACTGTGCGAATGCTGTCATCGTATGGTCAAGTTGAGAATAACAAGTTGCTGCAGTTTTTGCAAAGACTGGATATAACATTAATTGAAGCATTTGATATTTTCATTTCATTTTTCATTTAGTTATGCATTATTTTAATGCCATAAATTAATTAAAGTGATAAAACAGCATGTTTAATACGGACTATTGTACTCACACTGGGCTTGTTGTTTAGCCGTTAGAGTGAAAACATCTCCCCTGATGGAGAAAGGCCCTGGGGGTCCAGGTGGCCCAGGAAGGCCTCTTTCACCTGGTAGGCCTTGCAGCCCTTGAGGTCCTGTAGAGTAAGCAGGGGATCTCAATAAGCTCAATATTTGTTTTAATATTCCCAGTCAAGGTAAAGAGATAGTTCTTACCTCTAGGTCCTACGGGACCAGGTTTTCCAGAAAACCCTATCTTTCCTAAAGCTCCAGTAGGTCCAGGGGGACCTGGTGGCCCAACAAGTCCTGGTTGTCCTATTGGTCCTTATATATATATATACACACACACACACATATACATACATACATACATACATACACACATACACACACACAATCACATATCTTACTTATCTAAATAAAATATATACAAATATTTAAAATATAAAATTACACTTATTAAAGAACAGTTTAGCAACAATTATTTTCTTCTCACCTGGTCGGCCAATGGCATTGGGTGTTATTGGTGAGGGGCGTGTCCTGTCCACTTCATTATCAGCTGTTCTCTCAGGTGATTGGCTGGGCTGAGGGAGAGGGGGTGCCTCAGCATCTCTCAGTAACATTATCTGTTAAAAAAGCTAAACTGCATGCTTACCATCTTAACACAACTGCTTGATAGAAGAGATTACCTTTATTTCTGTTTTACCTGAGCTTCAATGACACTCAAGCGCTCTTTGATGTCAGCATAACCAGTACAGTTCATGCACTCTAAAAGGATGAATGCAAAAAGAGATGTCAAGGTAACATGAAGTATGACAGTAGAGAAAGGGGGATTTCTAACCATAAAAAGTGATACATGATAGAGTGAATGGATTAAGCGAATGCTATAAATCTCTCAGCCATCTGTTGTGTCATAAGTCAAATCTATGATCGTTCAATCTAAAGAATGCTTTTACTAATGTTTTTGCAATATTATAATTGTATACTAGTCAAAGTAACTGATCTGAATAAAGTTTGTGTGATGTTCTCACAAGTTAACTTAACAAAAGACACATTCATTCATACTGTACTTAAAATTCCATGGATCCTTCCAGAGTCACAGGCTTGTAGTCAAAAAATGAAATCAATCCCAAAATCTCAGTGTGAAACCAAAATAACAGTGGTATGATCAGTGCTGCTTTGTGAACAATGAGAATTTGTTAGAGACAGTAAATGAGTTCAATTACATTTTTGGTTAACATCCCTCCCAGGGGTAGAATAAGGAACAGGAAAACCAGACGCTGGCAAGCCACGAATTTCCATTTGCATAGAATCCTAGTGAAGGGAAATATCTCACTCTGGGTTTCCCCAACATTCACCTTTCTCATTTGAGAGAGATGCTCCTCACAGCATAGGGCT